CCTTTCCGTCGGGCTGGGTCGGCTCCCCGCTGTAGCGCGGCGGGGCCCTGCGCCGGGCTCTGCGGAGCAAGGGGCCTTCAGGGCCAGCTCGCAGCCTGTGAGAGTTCCTGGCTGTTAGAAAGGGTTACGAGCTTGGTCGAAGAGGAAGAGGGGCGGGGAAAAAAGCCAAAAGCAAACTAGCAAAACCCCCGAGCTGAGCTTGGCCAGGAGCCGGAGGGCTCGGGAGCCGCCCCTGTCAGTAGCGTCCCGGCTTCCTCCCTCCTGCTCGGCGAGCCCTGGGCAAGCGGGGGGTATGTTGTGTAGCTTGCAAGCATATGCGGTCCTGCCCTCGGGACTCCCCGGCCGGCAGTGTAAATTATAGGCTGTAATCTGCTAGGTATGTGGCCTAGTTGTAGTTTGCAGTAGTCTTCTAGCACTTCTTTTCAGTTTCTCCTCCATCAAATAGACTATGCCTATGTAGTGCACTCAACACTGACATCCCTCCTGTTGCCTTACTCAGAAACAGTGTTTTACTGGATTTGAGGGAGAGATTACTGGGATTGTCTTGTCCCCGAGCCTCTGCCGAAATTCTCAGCCTGGACTTAATAAGACTGAATTAACACTATTACTGGACTCCCGACACTTAGTGCTTTTATAATGTGACCAAATATGAGGAAGTAATTCTTTTTAAGCTGCTGTACCTGAGCAAGCCATGACAGTATCATGGTTGATTTCAAATGCCAGTAGTTACTTTGGTGGACATTTGAGGCTGTACCAGTTTGGAATGGTGATGTCTGGAAATGCCTCTGACCTTTGTCATCCGTCAAAATGTTGGTTGTATTTAGCAGGTTTGTGTGCAGTTGTTTTTAAAAGGAAGATGGGAAATACACAACAGCTTTCTAAGATGTGCTATCAAACTATGTTTGTGGGTGTCCCTCTTGAAAGTTTAAACTCTGGCTATCATTTAGTTAGACTGTGATTTCATAAAGTATGAGCATGAGTCAAGGTGTGGTCCATCCTGCCATTTGTAGGTTGGTTAAACCCAATCCACAGGACTTCAGTTCCCATTATTACCGCTGGTTTGCTGAACGATGGTGATCATTTTGCTTCTCTGTGGAAAAACTGAATAACAAATATGGATAAGTGTTAGTCCCTAAACTCTTTTTGTTCTTTCCCTGCACAGTGTAATATTGTTTTCATCTAAAGATAATTTTTATAACAATTATTTCTCTCTGTGCTCTTCTTAAATAGATAAGGAAGCCCATAGTGGTGTGTGGGTTATGGGTTTATGGTGTCTGTTTCATGTGCTATGGATCCAAGCCAGTAATGAAAACACCAGATGTGTTAGAGTGACATTGCACTGGGTGAATAGAGAAAGCCTCTGGCAAATCTGCCCTCAATTCATGAAATGTAAATTTCTTCTTACCCATTTCTTTTTTTTTTACTGTGGATTTGAAAATCATTTAGACTTAAGCTCCTGAATCTCTTCATTTGATGGCCATGGTGTACATCTTAAGCAGGGTGGCTCTGGTAATGGGAGCAGTCTAACTGCAATAGCGTCATGGTCCACATAAACTAATTTATCATGCTCTATGATACATTCATAAGTATGTCTCTGTCCTCTTGTATCCATACTGTTGGTGAATTGCTTTTGAAAATCCCACTTTTAAATGCTTCAGGCCACTGGGGTTATAGGAAGTTCTGAAGCTGAGATGAATGTGGTAGATTTTTTACTGATTATCGGTGTGATGCTTACAGGTCCTGCATAAAAACATGCAAGCTGGGAATGGATTCTGTTGGCATCAGCATCTAGTATTCTCTTCTAAAAACCTTGGTGTTGCTACAAGAGAGTTCAATTAATAGTTTATATCAAAAAAAGATTTCTTCAGAGAAGAAGTTCGGACTTTTTCAAAGTGGTGCTACAATCGTTTCATGAATTTATGTTTCTGTTAGTATATAAAAATGAAAGTCTTCTGAGTACAGTATTGCTAATGTCATCCAGTGATGCTGAGATTTACTTAGGATTTTTAGAACTCTCTCTTTTTTTTTTTTTTTTTTAAGGAATGTTTTGATCAGCTTTTGACAGCTGAACCTATTTGTTCAGTTTCCCTATTTGTCCAACTTTTCTTTATAACCATGCAGACTCTACTTGCATTATTTTAAATGGGAACTGCTATTCTCACATAATTGCATAAAATGAGGAACAGTTGCTTCATGAAATGCCTCAGATAGCACAAAACCAAGATAAAATCACAAGAACTAGCATT